CATAAGCCAGGATGAAACAGAAATTTAGGATCTGCCCAAACCTGAAACATGGCAAATTTGTCAGCTTGCTACCCGAAGTATGGTCCATGGATCGGCAGCTTATTAGGAATGCAGAAATCTCAACCCCACCTCCGACCTACTACATCAGAACATGCATTTTAACAAGATTGGAAGATGTTTCCTGTACACATTAAAGTCAGAGAAGCATTTACCTATCACAGTATACTTGAGTCCTAGGAAAGAAGCAGGAGAAAGGGGTCCAAAAACATGGTTCCCCAGAGATCTCTTGAGGAGCATTTAGGGCTCAGATTCCTTCTCCTTTCTCTTGTCCCCAGCTGGAGGAAAGGGTCTGGGAGCATTTCTACGTGGTAACCCCTCCCCAGGTCCCTTTCTCTAAAGATTCTGCTCGCTGACACTTTAAAACCAAAGTGTCAGTCTGAAGCCGAGGTGAGAAGGGATGCCTCTCCCTGATATGATGGCTGCTGTGGAGGGCCCTTATTAAACCAAGGGAACCACACATCACAAACCCAGCCATTACTTATGAATTCAACTTGGGACAAGAAAAGCCAAATTGGAAGGGCAGGCTAATCCACAGCTGCCAGGCTAGCACACCGCGTATATAGTAGGAGCTCGGGCAGGACCTGGCATGTAATTTGTGGAGCTAGGTGCAAAACAAAAATGGCAGGCCCCTTGTTCAAAAATTATTAAGAATTCCAAGAAAGCAACAACAGAGCACTAACACCAAATGCAGGGCCCTTCTAAGCCTAATGCTACTGCACAGGTTGCACACCCAGAAAGCCAGCCTTGCTCTCCGGATGAAATGAGCAGGAAAGGAAGGAATGCAGTTGTCCCTGGATTCAGAAAGCTTTTTGCAACGAAGAGAAACTGTCATTGGAACAGGTCTATGATTGGTTCATGGTTTGTGAGACTCTGGGATAAAAACTGTTCCTACTAAACATTATTTTTTTATTTCTTCGTTCAAACTCATCACATGCAAAGTAAATGGCTAGTTTCTTGGGTACAAATAATTTTATAAAGCCATTTCCCGCATCCTCATGGGGCTCACACTCCAGTGGGCAAACTAACATTACAATAGACCTATAATCTGAGACAGCAGATTATTATAATGGAAAAAATCCAAAAAGTATTAGGTACTTGACATTGAATCACAAATGCTCCAAATCTTAAGTGACCTCCATAGGTTAGTAATGTTCCTTTCCTAACAGAAGTTTATGGGCAAACATTTTATAATTTATTTTTTTATTTAAGTATAACTGGTATAAAACTTATTAGTTTCTGGTATACAATGTAATGATTCAGCATTTTCCCAACTTTTCCAATGTGATCACCCCACAAATTCTAGTTAATCACCTGTCAGCATGTAAACCTACCACAATATTACTGGCTATCCTCACCTTCTGTTTCTTACCCATCTCCCCACCCCCTCCTTTCTGGCAACCATACCTTTGGCCTCTGTTTCAGTCTCTTTTGTTGTTGTTTGCTTTGTTTTTAGATTCCACAGATAAGTGAAACTATACGGTATTTCTTTCTCTGCCTGACTTACTTCTCTTATTTATCTTAGCATAATACCCTGTATATCCATCCATGTTGTCCCCAAACATCTATCCCAATCCCATTGCCAGAGGCGGGCAGACCAGATGAAGTGCCCTATTTCCCTCATGTGTTTGGAGAATGCTTGCTTGGCAAGGGCTACGAGACCCAAACCTGTGTAGGAGAGAACCTTTCTGGAAGTATATCACAAAATTAAAATGCTAAGAGAGAGAGAGAGAGAGAGAGAGAGACAGTTTATTTTAGGCCTTCTAAAACCCAGACACAGTGAGCAGCTTTCACATTTTCAAACACACAATCCAATTCACCTTTGGTGAAGTGTCTGATGCAGGCTGCACTGGGGCCGCTGACTGATGAGCAACGCTGTCCATCAGGGATGAGTGGGACATTCACGTCTTAGGTCACAAGCCTCTGGACAGAAACCGAGAGCGATTTCACTGAATCAGATGGAGACTTGACTCTGGGCGTCTGGACCCCCAAAAAATCCCTACATTACGACCACTCCAGAGAGTAACGGAGCGAGTGACGACGGGGCTGCTGGACGTTCAGCCAGGTGTACTCTCCACTCGACCCCGCCTGCGCCCCCGCACCCGGAGCAGCCGGTCACTCTCACGCCTCGGGAAGCACACCCGCTCCTGCCCGCGGTGCGGTGCGCCTCGCATGCGCCTTGTAAACACGGGAACCCTGACTGTTCAACCTGTGCACGTCGAGATCCCATCACTGCCCCAATCAAGCATGGATCCGAAACCTAACATCACCGAGCCGACGTTTGCAGAAACAACTGGAGCACACGATCCAGACCGAGGCTATTCAGAGGAACGCCTTTCCCAGGGCTCATATTAAGCTGGAAAACCCGGAGGACGCGAGTGGACGGCACCTGGCGTCACAGATTTTTGTTGTTGTTGTTGTTGTTGTTGGCCACGACAGATGCACTCACCCTTTAAAAACCGCGTCTGGGGAGAAGACTGGCGGGGCCAGAAATCGTTGGGGCCGGAAACTCGAAAAGCGAACGCGCAGTTCCCAGCATTCCTCGTGGGCGGTGCTTCCCTTTGACCCCCACGCTGACGCGCTGCACTTCCGGCCTCTGTTGCTACGGCGGGGAAGATGGAGGCAGCGTCCGTGTCGGTCCCGGTCGAGTGGATAAAGAGCTGGGAGAAGTCAGGGAGGGGCGACTTTTTGGACTTATGTTGGCTTCTCAGCGAAAACAGAAGCCTCGGCAGTTCGACTTACAGAGATTTCCAGCGAGCTCTCTATGAGTTATCGCACCATGTCATTAAAGGAAATCTGAAGCCCGAACAAGCATCTAGTGTTTTAAATGACATCAGCGAATTTCGGGAGGATATGCCCTCCATTCTTGCTGATGTCTTTTGCATGTTAGATATTGAGACAACCTGTTTAGAAGAGAAGAGCAAGAGAGACTGTTTTACGCAGTTGGTGTCAGCGTGTTTGTATTTCGTTTCAGACACGATTCTAAAGGAACGCCTGGATCCAGAAACATTGGAATCATTAGGACTTATCAAACAATCACAGCAATTCAATCAAAGGTCAGTGAAAATCAAGACAAAACTCTTTTATAAGCAGCAAAAGTTCAATTTGTTAAGAGAAGAGAATGAAGGGTATGCTAAGCTGATTGCTGAATTGGGGCAAGATTTATCGGGAAATATTACTAGTGACTTAATCTTAGAAAATATCAAATCTTTAATAGGATGCTTTAATCTAGATCCCAATAGAGTTTTGGATGTCATTTTAGAAGTGTTTGAATGCAGACCAGAATATAATGACTTCTTTATATCTTTATTAGAATCTTATATGAGTATGTGTGAACCGCAAACACTTTGTCATATACTTGGGTTCAAATTCAAGTTTTGAAGCAAGAGAAGGCAAAGGAAAAGGAGGAGGAGAAAGTAGAAAAGCCCCCGGGCAACCAAAAACTTGGTTTGTTAGGAGCCTTATTAAAGATTGGCGATTGGCAGCATGCACAGAACATGATGGATCTGATGCCTCCATACTATGCTGCTTCCCATAAGCTAATAGCTCTTGCTATTTGCAAGCTTATTCACATAACTATTGAGCCTCTCTACCGAAGAGTTGGCGTTCCTAAAGGTGCTAAAGGCTCACCTGTGAATGCTTTGCCAAATAAGAGAGCACCAAAACAAGCAGAGAGCTTTGAGGATTTGAGGACAGATGTCTTCAATATGCTCTGTTCCCTTGGCCCCCACCTTTCTCGGGATCCCATTTTATTTGCAAAAGTGGTGCGCATAGGCAAATCATTTATGAAGGAGTTTCAGTCTGATGGAAGGAAACAAGAAGATAAAGAGAAAATGGAAGTTATTCTTAGCTGTTTACTTGGCATTACTGACCAGGTACTACTTCCATCTCTTTCTCTAATGGACTGCAATGCTTGTATGTCTGAGGAATTATGGGGAATGTTTAAAACATTTCCATATCAGCATAGGTATCGTCTGTATGGCCAGTGGAAGAATGACACTTATAACAGTCACCCACTTTTAGTAAAAGTTAAAGCTCAAACAATAGACAAAGTTAAATATATCATGAAACGTCTAACCAAGGAAAATGTGAAGCCTTCTGGAAGACAAATTGGGAAATTGAGCCACAGCAATCCAACTATTTTGTTTGATTATATCTTGTCACAAATACAGAAGTATGATAACTTAATAACACCTGTAGTAGATTCACTGAAATACCTCACTTCATTGAATTATGATGTCTTGGCCTATTGTATCATTGAAGCTTTAGCAAATCCAGAAAAGGAAAGAATGAAACATGATGATACAACCATTTCAAGCTGGCTTCAAAGTCTTGCTAGTTTCTGTGGTGCAGTTTTTCGTAAATACCCAATAGATCTTGCTGGTCTTCTGCAATATGTGGCTAATCAGCTAAAGGCAGGAAGAAGTTTTGACTTGCTTATATTGAAAGAAGTGGTACAAAAAATGGCAGGAATAGAAATTACCGAGGAAATGACAGTGGAGCAACTAGAGGCCATGACTGGTGGAGAGCAACTAAAAGCTGAGGGAGGTTATTTTGGCCAGATCAGAAACACTAAAAAATCCTCCCAGAGATTAAAGGATGCACTATTGGACTATGATCTTGCTCTTCCCCTTTGTTTGATTATAGCTCAGCAGAGGAATGGGGTGATATTTCAGGAAGGTGGAGAGAAACATTTGAAACTTGTGGGAAAGCTCTATGATCAGTGTCATGATACCCTGGTACAGTTTGGTGGATTTTTAGCATCTAATCTGAGCACAGAAGATTATATAAAGAGAGTACCTTCAATTGATGTTCTCTGTAACGAATTTCATATACCTCATGATGCAGCATTTTTCTTGTCTAGGCCAATGTATGCACACCATATTTCATCCAAATATGATGAACTTAAAAAATCAGACAAGGGAAGTAAACAGCAACATAAAGTCCACAAGTACATTACATCATGTGAAATGGTGATGGCCCCTGTCCATGAAGCAGTAGTCTCATTACACGTTTCCAAAGTCTGGGATGACATCAGCCCTCGATTCTATGCCACATTCTGGTCATTGACAATGTATGACCTTGCAGTTCCACACACCAGCTATGAACGGGAAGTCAGTAAACTTAAAGTCCAGATGAAAGCAATTGATGACAATCAAGAAATGCCTCCAAATAAAAAGAAAAAAGAAAAGGAGCGCTGTAGTGCTCTTCAGGACAAGCTTCTTGAAGAAGAAAAGAAACAGATGGAACATGTACAGCGAGTTCTACAGAGACTGAAACTGGAAAAGGACAACTGGCTTTTAGCAAAATCTACCAAAAATGAGACCATCACAAAATTTTTACAGCTGTGTATATTTCCTCGGTGTATTTTTTCAGCAATTGATGCTGTTTACTGTGCTCGTTTTGTTGAATTGGTACATCAACAGAAAACTCCAAATTTTTCCACACTTCTTTGCTATGATAGAGTTTTCTCTGACATAATTTTCACAGTTGCAAGCTGTACTGAAAATGAAGCTAGTCGATATGGGAGATTTCTTTGCTGCATGTTAGAGACTGTGACCAGAATATATTAAAGAAAAAAGTAACAACCTATTTTTGCCTCTTAGGAATGTGGAAATTATCCAGGATTCCTTACTATATTACGGGCAACTGGATTCGATGGTGGAAATAAAGCTGATCAACTAGACTATGAAAATTTTCGACATGTTGTACATAAATGGCATTACAAACTAACTAAGGCATCAGTACATTGCCTTGAAACAGGTGAATATATTCACATTAGGAATATCTTGATTGTGCTAACAAAAATACTTCCTTGTTACCCGAAAGTTTTAAATCTGGGTCAGGCTTTGGAAAGAAGAGTGCATAAAATCTGCCAAGAAGAAAAAGAGAAAAGGCCTGATCTATATGCATTAGCTATGGGCTACTCTGGGCAGTTGAAATGTAGGAAGTCATACATGATACCTGAAAATGAATTTCATCACAAAGACCCCACTCCAAAGAATGCAGTTGCCAGTGTACAAAATGGGCCTGGTGGTGGGTCTTTATCTTCCATAGGAAGTGCATCTAAATCTCATGAAAGCAGTGCTGAGGAGAATGATAAATCAATGGAAAGATCTCAGTGTGGTGTGAAAGCTGTAAATAAAGCTTCTAGTGCCACACTCAAAGGCAATTCAGGCAATGGCAATGGTGGCTTTAATAGCAGCAAAACCATTAAAGAAAATGACAAAGAGAAAGGGAAAGAAAAGGAGAAAAGAGAAAAGACTCCAGCTACTACTCCAGAGGCCAGAGTACTTAGTAAAGATGGTAAAGAAAAACCAAAGGAAGAACGGCCAAATAAAGATGAAAAAGCAAGAGAGACAAAGGAAAGAACATCTAAGACCAACAAAGAGAAAGAAAAATTCAAGAAGGAAGAAAAAGCTAAAGATGAGAAATTCAAGACCACTATCCCCAACATAGAATCAAAATTGACTCAAGAAAAGGAAATAGAGAAGGAGTCATTCAGAGAAAGAGATATAGCAAAGGAAATAAAATCAAAAGAAAATGTTAAAGGAGGAGAAAAAAGACCAGTTTCTGGGCCCTTGAAGTCAACTGTTCCCCGATCAGATATTACTGAGCCTGAAAGGGAACAAAAACGCCGTAAAATTGATATACACCCTTTGCCATCACATACCTCAACAATAAAGGACAGTCTCATTGAACTCAAGGAGTCTTCAGCAAAGCTCTACCTTAATCATACTCCTTCATCACTAATCAAAAGTAAGGAGAGAGAAACAGACAAGAAAGATTTGGACAAGGCAAGGGAAAGATCCAGAGAAAGAGAGAAAAAAGATGAAAAGGATAGAAAAGAGCGGAAACGGCATCACTCAAACAATGACCGGGAAGTGCTACCGGACTTAACCAAGAGGCGAAAAGAAGAAAACGGAACAATGGCGGTTTCAAAACACAAAAGTGAAAATCCATGTGATTCTCCTTATCCAAATGAGAAAGACAAGGAAAAAAATAAGTCAAAATCTTCAGGCAAAGAAAAAGGCAGCGATTCATTTAAATCTGAAAAGATGGATAAACTCTCCAGTGGCAAAAAAGGTATATACAGACCCCTAAGTTGAAGGTCTCCTGGAGGAGGATGCCAAAGCTCCATGCATCACTCTCAGGACAGTATCTCCCATAATTAAGAGCTTCTGGTATTGTCCATTTCAGGGGAATCTGCTTTAAGTCAGAAGATGAATACAACCCACCATCCTCTAGACAAGACATTCCAAAGTCACCAGTTGTCAGGACATTATTTTCACCTCTAGTCAGTTCCTTGCAGCACGGTTCCTGTGTATACAATTTTCACTTGAAATTCGCCATCCAGAAGCAGCATCTGATGAAAATTTCATCCTTTCTCAGAAAAGAGAGGAAACCGCCTCCGGGGACTAGTTCCTTAATGATGTAAATAGACTGTGTTTATGTGCAAACTCCTATACTTTTGACAATATTGGGATGATTGATTGTATTACTTGAGGATTTTGGCTTCTTGTAAAAAATTTAACTTTAGTTCCTGGTAAAGATCATTTTTACATGTTGTAACAGCAGTAGCAGTTTTATCCTTTCATATGCCCTTAAATATGTTACCAAATTTTCCCTTGCTCAATCATCCTCCTGTTGTGACATCGTCATGATTGAGAATGCATTTCTTATTCTAGTTATGGCCATACTGACCATGATACTCTTGATTGGAACATTGACTTTTGCCATTTAAAAAATTGAGATAAAATTCACAGAACACAAAACTTGCCATTTTGAAATGTTTTTTAGTATATTCAATATGTTGTAGAACCATCACCACAAAGAGCCCCCACACCTGTTAGCAATCATCCCTAATTCTCCCCTTTCCTCAGCCCCTGGAAACAATTAATGTACTTTCTATTTCTATAGATTTATCTGTTTTGAACATTTTATAAACATGGAATCATGCAATATGTTACCTTTTGTGTCTGGCTTCTTTCACATAGTATTGTGTTTTCATGGTTCACCCCTGGTATAGCACGTATCAGAACTTCCTTTCTTTTTAAAACTGAATAATATTCCATTGCATAAATATGTACCATATTTTGTTTATCCACTCATCAATTATGGACAGGAACAATGATCTTTAAGTATTAAAATTTTAAGTTCAACAGAGTACCCAAATTATGATATCAAGATTATAATTACATGGTGTAAACAGAATGCTGTATAGGAATGATATGTAAATTATTTGTCAGCATTTCATGCAAGTGTGGCTATTTTCTAAGGCTCTTCTAGCTTTGATTTTATGAAATATATGAATAGTATTAGTATTTTCATCTATAAAGTTTAATGCCTTAAGCATTATTTTTAAAATGATGAGAAAAATGGTAGACAAGAAGTTATTTGCCACATGTTGTAATGATCATATTTTTAATTTATTTCAGTATGCAGTATTTGAAAAATGTCAATACATGAAAGAAAATGAGTATGAGGAAGTCAATATATTTTTAAAGAAATTTTTATAATTTAGGAGACATTGCATCTTAATATAAATCACTATTAAAATAATACCCTTGTGAAAAAATAATAAAAAACACTTTCTGATCTGCATGCTCATTTGAATAGGGTCCAATTGGCAGAAGAAGTAGGGCATCTTGCACAAATCATCCTGTGATTGGTGGGAGAGGGGAAGTTCTGGAGCCTTGGTTTTAAAAGGTACCACTAACACATATCCAATGCATGCTTTGCAAGGAAGCTGGGCACACAGTCTGCCTTCCTCCATCTCCATTGCAAACCTGGAAGCAAGCCTGTCTATGCTTTTGTAAATCTGAACCTACATCAGGTTGAGCCAACTCAATCAATGGGGAAATACAAATGCCCACTTCATTTTTATTCAGCTGCTCAGAGGCTTGCAGTACCGAGTTTCCTAGGACAGCATGCCAGAGAAGCTCCAGGAAGTAGAGTTTCCTTAAAGAAGGCACATTCTGCCCTTAGCCATGTGGCATTCAGAGGGCCAGCAAAGACCCTTCAAAAGAAAACAGAACAGCTCCAGCTATGGCAAGGTTGTTATAATTTAATGCCAAAACAAAGAGTACAGCTAGGAGAGCATCTTACTGGGGATTATAAATAAACAAGAGCTGAATCTAAAAGACTATCTTTCCTAATAAGAATCTATGATGTTCCACTGACTGTAGAGTCTGACTTAGGAGTTTTTTGTTGTTGTTTGTTCTTTTGTTTTTTCATTCTTGGGGTTAGCCTGGTGATATATTAAATATTTTCCTGTTTTGCAGTGGTGTGAGAGGTAGCGTATTATAATGCTGATGACTGCACATTCCATAGCCAGAATGTCTGGGTCCTGATTTAACCATGTTATATATAACCTTTTTTAAAATCTTGGGCAAGTTACTTAAACTTTCTGAATTTCAGTTTTTATATCAGTAAAATGAGGATAATATAGCAGCTACCTCACAATGTTGTTGTAATGTAATGAGTAAGTACTGATAGAGCACTCAGTACAGAGCCTGACACACAGGAAGAGCTTCTTCCTCCTCCAGTCTATAAGAGACTAGGGCTTTGATTTGGACAATTTAAAACTCTTCTTTGATTTCAGTGATCTTATTCTTCCTTACGTGTATGAAAATAAAACAACTCGCTGAGACTATAAGGTCACGGAACTGCTAAATTGGTGTCACTGGGGTTTAAAGAATATCTGCATGTACAATGAAGTAGTCAAAAATACCTTTGTTAGAATCATACATTAATTCAACAAATATTTACTAAGTGCTCCTATGTGTTTCGCATTTTGCTCATGTTCAACATATTTGTTTCTTGATGAACAAGAGGGACAAGGCTCCTTTTTGTCCATGGAATGGACCTTGAAGGACTGGGAAGAGTTCTATGAAGAGAGTTGCAAAAAACATGCTTGGCAAAGGTTAAGAGATAAGATAAAGGTGGTGGACAGAGGAGAACAGAAAGTTTAATTTAGGCATTTCTCTCATGGAAGCCTGAAGAATGATACCACAAACATTAGAGAAAAAATAATTGAGGTTTTGGACAAGATCAAGAAGTAAGAACATTATATATGTACTAGAGGCCCGATGAACGAAATTCATGCAAGAGTAGGGCTTCCTTCCCCCTGCTGCAGGCACCGGCTTCCCTCTGGCACACAGGACCTGGGCTTCCCTACAGCTGCTGGCAGATGCCCAGGACCTGCACTTCCCTTGCATTCCCCTGGCTTTGTCCAGAAGGTTGTCTGGAAGGATGTCCGGTCTAATTAGCATAGTACACGCCAGGCACCGGGGGAGTCCCTCAGCCTGGCTTGCACCCTCTCACAATCCAGGACCCCTCAGGGGATGTCAGACTGCTGGTTTCAGCTCGATCCCCACAGGCCAGACTGAGGAACCCCAGTGGTACACAAATCCATGCACCGGGCCTCTAGTATGCATATAAGATCTTTGGTTAATCTCTCCCCACCCACCTCCCCCCTTCCCTCTGAGATTCATCAGTTTGTTCCATGTTTCCATGCCTGTGCATTGAGCATCTGCCCCCTGGTGGTCCGTGCACATCATAGCTACCGGTCGAACAGTCACTTAGGCCTTTATATATATAGATAATACTGGGAGGCAAATTGGGTGGATCCTAGCAGTTTGGACAGTTTGCAGTTATTTCAAGATTCCAGGATTGAAATAAGGTCCAGATTTATAATGGTGAGTGACAGAGGAAGAGAATACATAGAGACATTATGAAGAGAAAACTGATAGTACTTGGTGCTTGAACCTATGAGATAAAAGAGAAAGAGAAATATAATGTGATGTCATGTTCTCCTAACCAGTTGAGATGATTAGAGCATTAACATGGCTCAAAATATACAATCTATAATATTACTCAGTTTAAAAGCAATCAATTTTATAGATTGATTTTATTGGTAAATTGTGTCTTAACAAAACAGCACACTAAAAATTAGTAGCAAATCTGGTGCCTCTTTGTACTACTACACCAAGGGAAAGGTCATGGTAGCATATGAAAAATACAGGCAGACTCAAATTTAAATTCTCTTCATGGGCTATGGAGCCTTGTTCTGTCTGAGCCTTGGAGCAAGTAC